CGCGGAACTACCAAGGGTGATCTAGGGTTAGTGGGGGCGCTAGGGAAGCATGGCCGCGTGCATGTCCACGCGACGGCGGAAAACACACCGGCGGGGCTCGCGCTCCGGTGAGGTCAGAGGGGTAGAGGTCCGATGAGTTAGGGTTAGAGCATCTACAAAATGCGGGGAAGATGAGGCGAATGAAAGGAAGAATGGAGACACGGCGGTTAGTTCTTGCCACAGTGAGCTCGGAGTCTGACGGAGCTCCGGTCATGGCAAGCGGTGACGGACATGGCCAATAAGCCCTCACCTTGGCTCGAATGGGGCTGCAAATAGGTCGAGGGCATAGAGCAGAGAAGGGCGAGTCTACATGCATGAACAATTTAGGAATGATGGGACGACGGAGGAGCTATGCGGCGACAGAGCTCTCGGCGGCAATGGTGAGCTTGTCGCTTTGCTTTTGCGTGGCTCGGACGAGGTGAGTAGGAGCGGACCGAGGCCGCAGGTGAAGCAGCCGGCGCGGGGCGTCGATGTGGCCGCGACGGCCTGACTAGTGGGGACGATGCCGGCGTACGGTCACCACCTGGCGCCAACGGCCTGACGGTGGTCGGCCACGATGGCTGGGCCGAGATGGCCATCAGGCCACCATCAGTTGTCTGACAGCGCACATTCACCCCCTCATAATTCCTAAATCGTGACACTTAGTGATCAACCAATTGCACTATGTGATAGAGCTAAGTGAGTACTCCAACATTGCCAATACCAACTTAGTCTTGATCGCCACGGTTTTCAAACTATAGTCCCCTTCACGAAATTTGAAAATTAGTGCAAGACTTAGAAATTTTTTCCAAGTTTTCAAACAGCACTGCATTGATTTTTGTGAGCCAATTCCAAGCATGTTAGGAGTTCAATTAGCCTATGACCCAAAAATAAAAGTTGTTAGACTAATTGAGTTCTACAACTTTGTTTTAGGGTGCACATCCATGCAAAGTTTTTAAAGTGATGTTCAACTCCAGTCAAACATGCAACTTGAAATTGATGATTTACCCTATAGCTATGACTTAGAGACCAAACTAGCCTTAGTCATGAATACCAAAGTTGTTCCATGTGATATTCTAAGCATGTTTAAGGTGTCTTAGTGATCAACATCAACCACTTGCACTAAATCACGCCAAACGCCCTGCGGCCGCGATGATTCTTTCAACCGCACTTGGCACGGGAGTCGTGAAAATGAACTAGTAGCTCGTGGTGCTCGCGTTTACGCCACCGCGACTTGGAGCTCGCGGTGCCCATACCGCACCGCGCGGTCGATGACCGCGGTCCCAAACACGCCCTAAGTGGGTGCTGATCTGAGTCGCAAAATTAGTCACCATGTAGCTGAAAGTTTGGATGGGTGCCCTCTCTAGGCTTGTCTAAGCGTCACGGACACCACAGCTCCTATGCTGCTTGCATAGCGGCTTGGTGCATATTGTAATGTTTTACACTCCTCTTAATGAAAAACGCGTAAACGGACGTGTTCTAAAAAAAGACTGATGAGAACACAAATACTATTTTTTATACCAATGCAATTATAGAAAGACCGGCTCATGTCAGATATGTATATGAAAGACTAGTTTTCCTTACTTTTTGTATCATAAATTCAGTTTGTTCCCACGAAGATTCAAATTAACATGTGTGCGGATTGTGCTTTTGTTATTTCTCAATCCATGAACCATGCTTCTTAATAGTGTTATAAAATTACCGCAGCAATGCACACAGTATCATCTGATATATACTTAAATGTTCATATAAGTCGACATTATTTAGGAACAAATGCATTTAAAAAATCGCTTGAGTCTTATACTATAATAAATAAGTAAATTAATCAAATACGATTGGCTTCGAGGATTTCTTGCATGACCCGCTTGAGCGCCCAGTCCTCTGTCACAATAGTACCGTGCTCAGCCCCATGAAGTTTGATGGACTTGTACAGCTTGTTCTGCTCCGGCTGCCGACGCATCTTCTCGTCGAACGCCAACATGCTGATCAAATTGATGGTATTGTCTCCGTCGCCATACACTATCTCGGGTTCCGCGTCGAAGTCGCCGTCCCAGTAAACCAGCTGCTCCGGCGTGTCGTTATTGCCCACTCCGTTGATGCACGTCGTCGGCACCATGGGGGCCTGGAAGGAGCTCATCTTCGGGACCGCTCGTCTCGTGAAAGGCTCCACGCCGGCGCCGAAGCCGATGTCGGCCAGGAGGTCCTCCACGTCGTAGGCGGAGTAGTTCCTCCGCGCGGTGACCACGAGCGGCCTGTCCCCGAACACCGCCGGGGACGGGAAGCTGACGATGGAGGACTCGAAGCTCCTCCACATGGGCCTCAGAGTCAGCGCGAGCTGGGTGACCGTGGGGATGTACATCAGGTCGGACCCGGAGACGAAGTACTGCAGCGTCTGCACGAGCCCTTCCGCCAGCACCGGAGCGACGAGGATGAGGTGCTTGATGTACCTGTCTCGCCACGACATGGGCGTGCTCCGCACGAACTCCAGCGCCACCATCCCCCCGAAGCTGTGCCCGAAGAGGATCACCTTCTTGTTCTCGTTCTTCTCGCTCGCGTCCTCGATGAGCCTCGTCAGCCGCCGGAAGTAGCGCGAGAAGACCTCCGATGACTGGCTGGGCACCGGCGGGGCGTAGCGGAGGTCGTACTGGGCGGCGAACAGGGTGTCGCCGTCGCGGTACCCGGCCTTTTCGAGCTCGTGTCTAAGGACCTCAAAGCACCAGGTCGTGTGCTCCGGGTTCCTCTGGAAGCCTCGGGAGGAGCCGAAGCCGCGCACGCGCGTCTCGACGCCGGGGAGGTTCCGGTAGTCGTTGGCGGCGGGGTCGTAGACGAGGGTCATCTGCTCGATGAAGCACTGCACGTAGTGGTGCACGGGCAGGTCGGAGCAGTTGGCCCAGAGACCGAACCAGCCCTTCCCCTTCATCGCGCCGCACCGCGGCACGGAGGGGCGGTAGGCGTCCGTGAGCCGCGTCTCCAGCTCGCTGCAGGTCAGCCCGGGAACCAGCACCAGCGGGTGGAGGAGGACCTCGCCGCCGCCGGTCGTTGTTCCGCCGCCGTTGGCAGCACCCTCCGACGGCTGGTGGTCGATCGTCGTCGTGGGCGAGAGGAGCTCCCGGAGGCCAGTGGGGAGCAGGAGGAGGAGGAGCGGCGCCACAACCTGGAGAATCCTCGCCATGATGTTGCCGGCCGGCTGTGTGCCTGTGTCTGTGGCCTGTGGGTAACGTAACCACGTTGGCACTCCTCAGTGCAGTGCACTCCAGTCGGTCACGTTGGTACGTTCCTAGTGCAGGGAGATGGATGTGGAGAATAATAATAATAATAAATTTCAACACTGTTGATTGGGTTCTACTGGTAGATCTTCACGAGGCGTTTTTCCTGTCTCCTCCGATCCACATCTTTTTTGTTCTGATACTGTATACGTACGTCTCTCGTTCTCTAGCGATATCTCCTCAGTTACGTACGGTGGCTGCGTGCTTGGCCACGACTAGAGCCCACACCGAAAAGCCACGGTCGTCGTCGATCCAAGCAGCATGCGGATGTACCGTGAAGCCCGCTGATGCAAGCAGCAACAAGCCATAGGGAAAAAAAGCCTACAAATGTGCAGCTTTCGTAGCTAGCAGTAGCAAAAGGCCAGGAGGCCAGGAGGCGAGGAATCGACGGGGCAATTACGCACGAGCATGGGCGACGGCGACGGCGAGGTCTCGGCGGGACGGCTCAGACTGGGGATACAGTTCCGTCAGGCGACTAGTTGCTTGTGGCTGGAGTCCCAGCGTTGCCGCCTGCTGAGAATGGCGTTCCAAAATTTTAAATCGTATATAGATTTCATAGGAACCAGTTTTTATTTTCACAGAAAAAAGAAAAAACCCAGCAAAGAGAAAAAAAAATCATCGTATTCCAAAAGGGAATATTTAGATATAGCCTAAAAAATCTACAACCATATAAAGCAGATTCTCCATAATAAAATCAGAATTGTGAGCTTAGGGTCTATTTGTGATAGATCCAATTTCACAAAAACAACTCCACAACACCAGCTCCCCATAGATCAACTTCGCCGTGGATCTAGGCAACGATAAAACTATTTGGGACAACTTCACCATGGATATGGATTCATATGCAATTATAAAAAAAATCATTCAGGGACTAAACCATGAGACTTAGCTAATAGTCTATCCATTTAAATATGGTGCTAATAGGTAGATTAATTTTATAGTCAATCCTCCAACTAGTTATTAGCCAACTAGCTAGCAAAACCTAGCTAATTTAGGCTTATTTTTAGTCTTAGCTAATAACTAGACCTAACTCATTGATGAATCATACCCTTAATGTAACATATAAAGAAAATATAAAAATGTTCACCTTGAAAACTATAACCTGGCATTGCCCAGAGCGTAGCAGGAAAAACGACATAAATGGAAGGAAGTAAATTGACTGTAGAAAATGGGAAGAAGTGAACAATATTACGGGTGTTTGGATCCAGTGACTAAAGTTTAGGAGATATTACATGAGAGTGTTGTGTGGGGTGTTCGGATACTAATAAAAAATAAATTACAGAATCCGTCGGTAATCCGCGAGACGAATTTAATAAGCCAAATTAATCTGTCATTAGCGCATGGTTACTGTAGCACCACATCGTCAAATAATGGACTAATTAGGCTTAAAAAATTCGTCTCGCAAAACAGTCTCAATCTGTGCATTTAGTTTCGTAATTAGTTTATATTTAATACTCTTTGCATGTGTCTAAATATCCGATGGGACAACTACTAAAATTTAGGAGGTGCGAAACACTCCCTTAGTAAAAAAAAATTAATACGTCCCAATCTCCAATTTTACCGAGAGGTCCCCACCGGCAGAGGAACATAGCAGCCCTCCAGCCTCCCATCCTAAATTAATCCCTAGTCCTCCGTGCATCCGTCCGTCCCCATAGCCCCACCAGCAGGCACGAGCCGGCCCCACCTTGCAGCCCCCAAATCCCCTTCCGATTCCAAATGTCTTCCTCCTCCGAGCTCGTCCTCTACAACCTCGTCCCCGCCCCCCAAACCCTAAACCCTCCCGCACCACACGCCCCCGCAGCCGCCGATCTCTCCATCTCCACCGCCGTCGCGGCGGCGGCGCCGGGGACCGCCGCCCTCCACGGCCGCGTTCGGCGCCCGGTGGGGTTCTCCTCCTCCGCCGACCGCCACGCCAAGGTCGCCGGCCGCGGCCGCCGGGTCCGCATCCCGGCCATGGTGGCGGCGCGCGTCTTCCAGCTCACGCGCGAGCTCGGACACCGCACCGACGGTGAGACCATCGAGTGGTTGCTCCGCCAGGCCGAGCCCTCCATAATCGCCGCCACCGGCACCGGCGTCACCACCGAGGAGGCGCCCCCGCCTCTTGTCTCCCCGTCTCCTCCGTCGCGGCCACCGCGTCCATGACGCCGGTCCCGTACTACACCGCGCTCCTCATGCAAACGCCCACCGCCGTGGAGTCCCCTGCCGCCTCTGTTTCCGTCTCTGGCACCGCTGCGGAGGAGAATAATAACTAGGCTAGGTGGAAGAGGATTATCGAATGACAGTTACTATGCTTAGGGCTAGGTTAGTTAGTTAGTAGCTTAGGGTTTATTATGTGTGCTCTGTGGTCATGGCCTACACCTCAATCATTAACTTATTACCTTGGGGAAGGATTGTGGGTGATTTAGGTAGCAAAACTGATTGAGATGGTAACAATAGAAGAGGGGAAATGGTATCTTTCTAAGTGGTTGATGAGTTCTACTGATGTTTCCAACGGAGTCTAATCTCTTGTGAATCGTCTAGTGTTGCTGATTTCTTTATCTTGGTGCTTCAGTCCGTGTGTGAATGTTCTTTTTCGCTGTGTGTATGTATGTAGTTGAGCAATTGTCTTTTTGTTATTTGCCTTTATTAGCAACTGGATTTAGTTATGCAGCATAGGAATTCGCCATGATTGGTTCATGCCGTTGCGAGGGCCAGGTGGTAACTGAAGATGGAAAGCTACCAACAAGTTATCTTTCTGCTTGCTTTCCTGATGTTACTGTCTGTTTCTGCGTTTTCTGAATTCTGCTACAAAAAAGAGAGATAGCTACAGTTAGTTTGCTTGTGTTTTGGTAGCAAGGCCATATGTGTTTCATGATCGTATTTTGTTGCACCTGGCAAAAGGGTGGTACTCATGGAAAATGCATGTTTGCACATATAGTTTACTTGTTTGGATGTCAGGTCAAATGCCTGTACTTGTCTTGTAAGGAGGAATCTTCATAGATTGCTGCACAATCAGTTACCAACTAACGAGTGTCTATTTGATATTAGTATTCTGTTAGCTATTTACATATACCCAGTGTTCGCCTAAACGCCTAAACGGTAAACGGTGGTAAACTGTTTTGTTTAGGGGGTAAACGGAAATTAAATGGTTGACCGTTTAAATGGTCAAAAAACGGGAAAAAACGGTCTAAACGGCCTAAACGGAACGGAGATAAACAATATTAAATGGGCTAAACAGTTGTTTAAACGGCTGTTTAGGCGAACACGAGGTAAATCTAGTTCAGTTTTGTATAGATAAATTTGTATACTTAAGTTTATTATATTTATAAATGTGTACATTTGATATGTTACATGCATAAATATCTATATTTGGTTCTTTTCACATGCATAAATATATATTCATACCAAAATAATTGATTTTTACTCAGATAAATATGTATAAATGCTAGAATACTTGATTTTTTACATGCACATATATAATTATATGTATTTTTTTAAAAAAGTACAAAACCGTTTAACTTCGTTTAAACACCGTGTAAACAGCCTAAACGCTAAATGAAAGGGCGACCGTGTAAAGACCCGTTTAGGAAAACATTGCATATACCCTACATTTTTGTCACATATGTACATGCCAGGCAGAAGTTTTTGCTGTCATGATTTTACTTTCTGCAGTTTGACCATATACCAGCTCTGCATGAGGTGTGCCCTGAAGATCCAGCTAGTATCTTGATGTGAATACTTGTGCAGCTTTGTATGATTTGGACTTGCCAATACATCTCTAGATATATTTAGGTACGGATGATTCGATATGTTAAACTATGCTCCTTTGAGAACTACCATCTAATGCTGTGGTGCATGAACTTACTAATTTTGGCACATCTTTGGAAGTTTGCCTGTCACCTGCCAGACAGCAATTTGTATAGCTTCCATATTATTGAGACAGTACTTTTCAAATAAAGAAACTAGTTTGTTGACCTGATCTTTGTATGGTGTTACCACAACTGTCATGATGCTGCATCCAAAAGCTCTTTCTTGTTTGTGATGCCGTGCAGGATATATCTCAGAATTTAGATATTTTAGTATGACACTTTGGCATCCCCCTCCTTTCAAATATGCGGCTTGTATGGATTTTTCCCTGGCATTGTTTTACATGTAAATTTTTCAAAGACTACTTCGACTTCACAAGTTATGGTTGCCAGGGTGTTCTAGACATTAACCATTATTGGATAATGTTGTTATTTTATATTATTATTGTGTTTACCATAGAGTTAGGAATTCTACTTAAAGGTGGTATGTGATGAGGGATTGGTGATAGTGGGTTGGAAAACTACCAACTGGCCTTTTTTCTTGCTGTCCTGGTATTATTGCTTGTTTGTTTGTTATCCAAATGAGTGCTGGAAATGGAGTTTTGGCTGCAGTTTTTTTTCTGGATGGGCTTAGCAGCCTAATTATATGTGCTATATGGTTGTATTTTGTTGCATCTGAGAAAGGGTAGCTTTAATGGAAAATGGTTGTTTGCATATTCACTTTGCTTCTTTGAATGTCAGGTCAAATGCCTATACATCTCTTTAAAAGAGGAAACTTTACATAAATATCTGCACAATCGGTTATCAGTTGGACAAATCGGTGTCTTTTCACTGTAAGTATGCTACCATCCTCCAGCTGCATATATTGGAGTCATATCAATTACATGCACAACTGAAAGTATTACTGTGTAATGATTGTGCCACTTCTGCAATTTGGCCATATAATAGCTCTGCATGATGTGTGCCCTGAAGATAAACTAGTATCTTGACATAAATACTGGTGCAGCTTAATGTGTTCTTGACTCACCAAAATGGCTTTAGAATATTCTGGTATGGATGATTTGATGTTATGTCTAGTTGTGGTCCTTTTGGGACTGACATGTACTATAGTGGTGCACGAACTTGGTAATGTTTTTTCATCTTGTCTTTGGAATCTCTGGGCCTGTTTATATTTAGCTAAAAGATTTTCCAGAATTTGTCAGTTGCCTGGCTGTTAATGATCTGTCCAACTTGTCATATACTCAATCTGTCCAACTTGTCATATACTCATATTAAGGGCGTACCCAGTGCAGAGAGCTCCCGCTCTGTGCGGGGTCTGGGGAAGGGTGTCAGTGGCAAGCCTTACCCTCGCCTGTGCAATGCGAGGAGACCGTGACTCGAACCCGGAACCTTCCGGTCACAGGCACCAGGCCCACCCTTCTCATATACTCATATTAATGAAACAATAATTTTAAAATAAAACTAACTATATTGACTTGATAATGCAACATATCCAAGGAACTATCTGTGCCTAAACCATAACCTAGGCTATCAGCCAACTTATACCATTGTTATTAAGGCGTTGCTTAAGCGCCAAAGTGCTGCACGCACGACGCCTTAGCAGACGACTTGCCTTAGATTCGTATGGTGTCCGACTTACAGCCGAGGCGTCCAAAAAACGTCGCTCTGGCGTCCAAATCGCGCCAAATTGCTCGTGGCGGGGGCCATACGGGTGTTCTGGGCGGGAAAAAGGAGATCCATGGAGAAATGGCGGGAAACATCGAGAGAGAAGAGTGTGTGGGAGAAAGTGCACGAGAGAGAGTAGGCGCACAAGAGAAAGTGCATGAGAAAGAGCAGGCACGCGGGAGAAAGTGCACGAGAGAGAGAGAGCAGGTGCACGGGAGAAATAGAGCGCAGGAGAGAGAGCAGGCGCGCGGGAGAAATAGAGCACAGGAGAGAGAGCGACCGTGTGGGAGAAATAGAGTGAAGATTTCGCTCACCAGTGAGCGGGAGAGGAACAGGAAGCCGCAAGGAGTGGACGCCTGTGTGCCGTGGCAGGGAGCGGATGCCTGCAGGCCACGGCAATATTTCCCTAATCGGCACTGGCCTGCAGCAAGAGCAGCCGCCTCCTCTGTTCCTCCATCAAGCAGCAAGAGGAGCGCTTCCTCTGTTCCTCTGTCGAGCTGCATCGGCCTGCAGCAATAGGAGCCGCCTCCTCTGTTCCTCCGTCGAGCTGCAGCGGACGCCTCTTCTCGTCCTCCCTGCAGGAGCAGCTTCCCTCTTCATCCTTCTCCCTCAGCCAGCAGCAGCTCGCTTCATCTTCTCTCTCCCAGCAAGAAGCAAGATAAGCAGATTAGTACCCGATTGATACCCTGCTCTGCATTTTTGTACCTGCCTCCCTCCTCTTCTCTTCACTTTTTTGCATTCTGCACCTTTGCTTTGTACTGTTTTATATGCCAACTCCACTGCCGCTGCTTTGAGTACTGTGGCTGGATGCTAATTTGTTTAGAAATGACAACATCAAGAGAATCAATATCAAAGTATGACATGCTTCTATACTACTTTAGGATTGTCATAAGGCGTCGCCTCGTCTCACGCCTTAGTTGCTTAAGCGTAAGGTGGTAGTCCGTCGCCACGCCTCGCTTTACCTCTTTGATAATCATGCCTTATACTATTAGTTTTAGTACCATTATTAGTATCACTAGTACCTTTTCTGGTGGCTCTTGTTGGGTTTCATCTTGAGCTTTTACTGGTTATGCCCAGGACTAAAAGATGCCTTGTGTTATGACCGGCGTTACCTAGCAGCAGCGCCAACGCGCCCGTGGCTAGGTAATGGGCCCAAATTATCCTTTGATTGGTTTATTTCCCAATTAGTTCCCATAAAAATAGGAGATGAGATCCTAGATTTGTGTGTATTAGGAAGGGATAAATACCCCTAAACATTTGTTCAGAAAATCAAGCAAAAGAACAATTCTGTTGCTGGGCTTCCTCCCTGCGTCTCTCACTCTTGCTTTCCTCATGCGTGCCCTCACGGCGCCCACTTGTCACTGGGGGTTCAAGCCTCGGCCACTGGTCTCATACCCCTACGCCCTCCACAGTGGAGATGTACAAGTAAACTATGTTTCACAGCTACATGGACTTGTAAGTTCTATGTATGCCTGTTGACATCTCTAGATTCTACATCATAAAGAAAACCATGCAGCAGTCTCTTTTGAACTTTTAAAATTAGATTAATTTAGAAATGGGTAAAAAATTTCTAGTATAAAAGATATTTTAACCAATTAAGATTTAAAATGGTAGAAAAGTGTTACCAGTTCTTCCACCGAACTAGTCTCCACTCTGTCAAAAGATGGGCTTTGCCTGTCTTAATTTTGTGCC